CACCCTCAATTAACAAGATTAAATCTCCAACCAGAGTGCCTGTACAACAGGTGGCAACCAATCTGGCAATGACGTATGAGCTTGTCGACATCGATATGTTTTGCCATGATATGTTACTTGATCATTTACTAGATAGGATTTAGATGGTTGCCATTCGGAAGAAGAATCTTGATTCGATGACTGAGTCGTTGTTTGAACTTTATTTATCGTCGTTGTTCCAATGTTTGATGACGGACTATTTATTATTGGTGGATGAATGCCATTATTTAAGGCATTAAATGTTGCACCGATCAATTCTGCTTGACGATCGCTACTCAATTCCCAGAAAAAGGCGCCATCTAATTGATTTTTTTTTATATAATCATTCTTCAAATTAATTGAATCAACATCATCATAACTAATCCAAAGACCAGTTGATGAATTGTAGAGAAATGGTACCTTTGATTGATCATCCCAATAACGTTTATTGTTTGGAATAAAAGTTCTTTTCAAATGATCATAGTCAAAAATACCATTTTCCCAAGTACCAGTTGGAATTTGATTCGATGCTGTTTGTGAAAATCCATTAAAATCTTGATTTGTTACTCCTCAAATAGATAATTTTATTATCGAAAAAAGAGATATTCATTAACAAACCTTGCCAACCACGTCCATACAAAGATAAACCCATAAGAATTTTATCAGAAGGTACTCCAGCTACAAGATAAGCTTGAATTGCTGCATGACAATTATATTTTGATTTGATAAATGATGGATTAATATCACTTGTTCTTTCATTATCATTTTTGTATAATGGAGAATTATGACCTGTTTGTAATTCCCAACTTCCATGAAAATCATAAGTCATAACATTGAACCAATCAAGATACATAGCCATACCAGACAAATCGATATTAGCAATTGGTTCAGTACCTGCTCCAGTTCTATAAACAACAAAATAAAATTCAATAAATATTCGTATAAGATCTATTTTACTTACGCTACAGTTAATAAATATTTCTTATTTGGTACTGCATCTAACTGCTTACGAAGTTCTTTTAATAGAAGAACATAATTTTGTTTGTCTTCTGGACGATGAATATTACCTGATAAACCACCAGAAACAGGATATTCCCTAGAATTAATACATATTAATCTTTCTGAGAAAAGACATTTGTCGTTTATATGATTTGAATTTACTGTTGTGAAGATTTTATTTGTCAAATTAATTAATTGATATACTCACCAGTCTAAATCGACTCCATCAAAATTGTATTTCTTAATAAATTCGACACATGAAGCAGCAAATGTTGATCGACTTTGATCACTAACAGCTATATCCGAAAATTTACCTGACCATGTCTATCAAAATAAATAATGTATTTTATTTGAAAGAAAATGAAATAAAAAAGATTTACCCAACCACCAACAGATATAAGTGTACATAAATGTGGATATTTTTCTTTTAATTTAATTAATTGATTGAAATTTCCACGTAATGATTGATCCCATGTGTCACCATTAAATGTCTTGTCTATATCTGCCCATGGATCACCAAGAGCAATCTGTCCGTTAGGACCAATATTAGCAAATGCATAGTTTATATGAGTAAGTTTATCAGCTGGTATATCACTTACAAAATAGGAACGACTATAGATTGACCAAGCAGTAAAATAGCCAAGAATAACTGGATTACGCACCATAGTATCGGTTTTCTTGTTTGATAATAATAGTCACCTTATAAACTTATATCTATGTAGGAAAGACAAAGAAATGAGTAATAATGATATGTAATGCGTATGTATCCATTTATATCGTATGAAAATATGGTGACGATGATGATGAAGAAAAAAACCTCAATCAATAGGTATATACGCACAGCTCGATAACTCATCGAACCAATAGTAAAAACACAGGTTGAAACAAATGAGTCAAATATGTAAGCTTAAAAAATGATGTCGCTACTTCATATAGACATTAAATGTTAATCAGATTGCAGTTGTTACTTTATCGTGATTGAATCACTTTTTCCCTTTCATATGATTCAGAGCTAAAATAATGAAGAGTAAACTTTTTGAAATGTTTGAGTTTGTTTTCATTTTGAAGTAGTGACAATTTTTGACGAAAACCAATGGTCTCTAATAAGTAAAACTTGGAAAGAAACATAAATTTATTTTATATTAGAAAAAATGTTTTGAAAAATCTATACTTGGAAAAGTAGAACTATTTCAAATATCTAAATTTTTTCTCATATAAACTGCATTTTTACTATTACTAAATGATCACTATCAATGAGATGATATTTTTTTAACGTATAGTTTAATTAATTTGTTTTGAATATATTATATTTACTGTTATTTCGTAAAAGTTAAATTTGCTATCGATAAACATGGTAGAGTAGAGAGGGGTAATTGCGAAGTAAAAATCACTCCCTTCACTTGTATTCAGCATAACTTGGTCATTTTTGGGAATTTTTTTCTACTTTTTTTTAGATGTGTAGAGAAATGTCAGCTCTACAAATCCATCTTAAAGTTATCAAGAAATGACTGTTCAAAGTTGTTCAATCGCTTGTTTTCTGCTTACTCTTACAAATTGTTTGCAATTACTCCACATGGAGTAATTGCATACTTCTAGCCATGTTACATGGGATCACTGGAAATTGGTTTTATCATTATTCTTATAAGATTGACTAGTAATTTCTTCACAATTAGATAGAACTAATGATTATCTACAATTGGTAAGGATCTTAGTGCAAAAGTCTTCAACTAGTCAAAATACCAATTAAAATAGTAAATTAAAAAAATAGTAAAATTTTATGCATTTACTCTACTTGAGGTAATTGCATACACACACCCAGAAAGAGTGGAATAATTGCAAACAACAATATAAAATAGCTGAGAAAATTCAAATATCATGTCAATCACTTCTTGGGCAGACTTTAGGTGCTATAAAAAAATGTTTGCTACCGAAAAAGATGTATAACACTAATCTTTAGTAAAGTAGATCAATTACCACTAGTTTAGCATTCAAAATAAATAACTAATGTATAAAAACGTGAAAATATACTATCCATTGAAGAGAAGCTTTTGTTTGTAAGATATATGAAGTTAGTATTGTGATTGAAAAATGTTATTTTAAGCTCTATATCTTGTTTATTTGTTATTGATGATATGTAAGAATGCGCATGTATGATACGAGCAGATAAAACGTTAGAAAACTATAGAAAGTAGACTTCTTTAAAAACTATGTAATATGCATGACGACACTTTAAATGAAAGAAAAAGAAAAATAGAACTTTCACTGTTTTGCTTTTGTTAATGTTCGACATATTATATCTTCTAATAAAATTAACTTTTACATTATCATGGACATACACAGATTGATCATCGAAATGAGATTAAAATTGAAACTAGAGACGCCCGGTCCTACTTAACAGCAAGAATGGAAGATAGCAGAGGCCAATGGATCGTAGTATAACAGCAAAGGGTCTCGACTCATTAGCTTTGTTGGTAAATTATCGCCTTTTCTCTGCAAACAAAATGTACACTGTGTCTAAAGCAAGAACGAAAGTTTTTACCAAGAACGCCATCGTGACCATATGACGCTCGTCTCTCTCGTACATTAAAAGACTTTTTTTTGTATTTACAAGTATTACAAATAAACTAAGAACACCGAATGTTTATTCATACCACCGAAACATTTGCCGACGTTAAATTTTGTAATACTTGTAAGTTTGTGATATGAGCAGATGTTATCGATACTTATCAGAAGAATTCTTTCTGCTGCAAATGTCTTTCGATTGATTTAACCAAGCACTCTTCGTTTTTTTTGCTTTTGATATCATTTAACGACTCTTGCATAATATTCGGAGAAATAATGCAGTTTTAAGCTTCTCTTATGCCAATTTTTAAGACTACCAAATACGTTTTGGAGTGTGGTGAGGATGTAGGTGTGGGTGTGGGTGTGTTTGTTTTTATCATTGAAGAAACATCCATCCGCACTGGCACTCAGACTCACCTCCACACCCACACATCCATTCGCACCCCATACCAACACCCACACCCTCTGTTCTCAGGAACCCGGGAACCCATAGCAGCATTGTGCGTAAAGGCTGTAAAAGGATATGTGAGTAGTCCATTGTGTTTAAAAATTTATAATAATGGATTGTGCAATGGGCCCGAGTTCCTAGGAAACGGAATCTCAAGAAACAGGAAACCCTGACACTTCTAGTCAAGACACACTGAGTTCTTATGTCTTCTAGTCTTTTCATATTTATTTCAACAATACCATGCTATGAACGTTCAATATACAAATGTCCTCCATTTTGCATGCTTCCAGTGACGAGACTTTTGATGACAATGGATGCACTCTGAAGATTTTTTCGTAACCACCTAACAAGACCTTCTTCTATTGTGGATACATCCAAGTCCCGTTTGACAGATCGACATCGAACATTTAGCAATCGAAGATTATTCATTTTTATGATAAGATCAAGTATACATGTTCGATTTTCGACATCGATAGTAAGAATTTTACACTGAATACCAAATATCGAACGACTCAATTCATCGCATTGTTCTTGGGTATAGTAATATTCCCAATCAGAATGACATCTCAAATTCAGTTCGGATACGGACATATTCTTGATTTTATATTGGGACAACTTTAGAATCGCCAAAGGCCATTCTATAATACATAATGAAGTTAGATGAGGATATTGATTGAGTAAGAGTTGTAGTTGGTTTAGACAAGTTGTTTCGTAAGTCAATTGATCGGGTTGTTTAGTTCCATATCGAAAATGATTATCTACGGGAAGTTCTATGGTAATGTGTTCAATGTTGGGAAACTGAATATGAGACAAGGTCAAGCATTCGTACAGGTGGGAAGCAGAGGTGTACGTAAGCCTACGCACACAATCATAGATACATCGATAATTATCAGGCGCACAGGTAGATTTCGAGCTAATGGGAAAATCAATAATGAAATTTTCAAAGGTATATGGTAACGTGTAGACATAACAACGTTTACTGACTAGACTCCAATCACATTGAACACACCATTGATGGTCGACAAGCCAAAATGGACTTCGAAAATCGTCAAGAATCTGGTCAATTCGTTGTTCCCGGTTATCCGTCGTTGTATCAGCTGGAAAACTCATTTTGAATTGCACGATTTTCAGCTTTGAAAGATTCTTCTGAATTAATCTTTCCCATGTTTTTCCATCGATACAGTTGTACAGCATGTCCAATTTCAAATGAGATAGATTCGGCATCCTACGTAAAAAGTTCACTAATGGACTGAATAGTGAACTGGTAAACGATAAATTCAATTTGGTTATTGAGACTACGTCTGTCGATAGATTAGTAAATGAAATACTATTAGCAATATTAATGGAGAAGCATCGAAGACTAGGTGTGCATTGGAACAGATGAACTACTTCATTTATGTCACGTTTGTCACCAAAATCATGTACATATTTAATAGTTGATGAGGTCACTGTTGGTGTACAAAAACCACATGTTGATCCAAAGAAACTGTTGAAACGGCAATAAACAAGATTAGGTAGGCTCCAAATGATGTTCATCAAAGAGCAATCAATCACTCTTTGATATTTGAAATTGCATTTGTCTAAAGTTAGACGAGTGAGAGTCGATAAATGAGGCAAATCTATCACTATTTTGTTCATTGTTTTCGTTGAATAAATATAAGACAACGAAAGCGATTGTAAATGAGTAAATTGCCGCAGTCTGAAACCATGTGCATAAAATTGATCGATTTGATTATTGTTGTCATCCGAAAAGCTGAGTGAAATTATTTGATCGACAAATTGCCGAAGATATTGTTTCCAGAAAAAAACAAAATTATATTTTGATGCTGAGCGAAGATCTATATATTTGTGATGTTGTAGATGGTTGAAAAGAAGATGATCGAAGCGACTATTGAGTCCATGAAAGGCGTGAAGAAGATCAGCAGTAGAGAGATGTTTGAATATCTCGAGTAATAACTCGTTGGGCAACAATTCTGAAAACATATCTGCTTCCATATTCAAGAATGTTTCACCAAATGTAAATAACAACAAAAATCAACTGAATACGGTATACTGAACTGTTCGATTCTTTGCTTGATGATGTTTTAATACGACATCGTACAAATCTACGTAAACAGAAATTTCTGGAACGAACTTTGGCGGTTTGTAAAAGTATTTTGTGTAATGAGAAGGATTGTATCGAGCGGTTTTAATGAATTTAGTCGGACGACAGTTGATGAAATGAGAGAATCGATGTAAATTCTAGTATTTTTCTAATATTGCCTTCAGCAAAAATAACTTTCCGTTCTTGTCTAGCGATTGGTAATTCTATTTCAAGTATATGAGTTTTACCCACTGACGCAGACTGATTCACAAATGATATCGTGTGTTTCTTCCTCCTGATGTAATAACGCAGCGTAATAGTCGGTTTTTTTTATTTTTCTCCCTTTGTTGTTACATTCGGAAGTGTTTACAAAGAATACCGTAAGCATTTACATCGTTTTTATTAACATGACCACGAGCAATATAAACACACAGAAAAAAAAAGAACAGATTAATTCGATGCTACGTTGAGTATGAAATGTGATAAAAAGAGAAGAAAAAGCAGTAATAATGGATAAGATAAGAACAAGCGAAAGAAGAAAAAAATGACGCAGACATTGATGTCTTTCACGC